TCGCCCTCTCCCCCCCCCTGCCGCCGGCAGGTGCCTGGATGGTTACTATGGCGACCCAGTGCTGGGCTCAGGGCAGCAGTGCCGGCCCTGCCCGTGCCCCGGGTATCCGGGAACGCGGAGATATCACGGCACCGCCTGCCACGCTGACAAGCAGACCCGCCACATCGTGTGCCTGTGCACGCCGGGCTACGCGGGTGAGCCGGGGGGCTGGGCCGGGCCGGGCGGTGGGGCCGGGGGCTGCCCCCCGGGGCTCTGGCACCTGCTGAGACCTTGGTGTCTGCTGCAGGGCTGCGCTGCGACCGCTGTGCGCCGGGGTACTTTGGGGCGCTGGAGCAGGAGGGGGGCGCCTGCCGGCCCTGCCAGTGCAACAACAACATCGGCCCCAGCGACCCCGAGGCCTGCGACCCGCGCACCGGGCACTGCCAGCGCTGCCTGCACCACACCGACGGGCCCCGCTGCGCCCAGTGCCAGCCTGGCTACTACGGCAACGCCCTGCAGCGTGGCTGCCGACGTGAGACCGGGCTGGGCTGGTGGCACCAGGGGTGGGGGACAGGGCAGCCTGCGCCCACGTCCCAGGGCGGGTGGTGACCGGGGACTGGCAGGGGTGGGGGGCCGGGTTGGTGTGGGCAAGAGGCAGCGTGGTTGTCCCCCAGCCAAGCCCTGGGCCCCTCCCTGCAGGCTGCACCTGTAACCAGCAGGGAACGCTGCCCTCCCACTGCGCCTCCGGCACCTGCCACTGCGACCGGGCCACGGGCCACTGCCCTGGAACTTCGGCGGGGAGCACGGCTGCCAGCCCTGCGCCTGCCACCCTGACCATGCCCTGCCACGCGGCTGCAACCTGGTGAGTACCGTGGGCGCCAGGCCAGCAGGGACGGTGCCAGGGAGCCCATGCCCAGGCTGCACTGAGCACTCTCTGCCCTCCGCACAGTTCACGGGGCAGTGCGTCTGCCAGCCGGGCTTCGGGGGCCGCGTCTGTGCCCATTGCCAGGAGGACCACTGGGGCGACCCAGAGCGCGAGTGCCGGGGTAAGTGTGAACCGGTGCAGGGACATGACTGCGGGCAGCTTCAGGTGCATGCTGACACACTGCTCCCCCACAGCCTGCGACTGCGACGCAGCCGGCGCAGAGAGCCTGCAATGCGACCGTGTCAGCGGGGGCTGCACCTGCCGCCCGGGCTTCACAGGGCCACGCTGTGACCAATGCCACCGTGGTGCCCAGAATGACTTCCCACGCTGCTCCCCCTGCCACCCCTGCTTCGGGCCCTGGGACCAGGTGCTGGGGCAGCTGCAGGAGCTGCTGAGGTCGCTGCAGGAGCAGGCGCGGGCACTGCAGGAGGGCGGCCCCATGCCAGAGCTCAGCAACAGCCGCCTGCGGGAGCTGGAGGAGAAGCTGCGGCGCGTGGAGCAGCTGGCCAGGGTGGGGGACAGTCCGGGCACCGCCGCCCTGCACCAGCTGGACGCCCTGCTGGACAGCACCAGGCAAGGGGCACGCGCCGGCTGGGCGCGATCAGTCTGAATGTGGGTGGGCCGGGCCCCTCCCCTGGGCTGTGCAGCGAGTGTGCCAGGCCTCGGCCAGTGCGCAGGGCATGCTCTCACTCAGCCCCTCTGGCATCACTGGTCCCTCACTAGCAGGGGCTGTGGAGGCCCTGGCCTGGGTCAAGCTGGCCCAGGTCCTCTTCCCTTCCACCATCCTCCCAGCTCCTGGGCCTCAGCACCACCTGCCCTCTGGACCCTGGCTGCTGGTGGCTGCCCTGGCCTGGGGAGGGGGCTGAGGGAAGCGGGGAGGGGGGACACTGAGTGTGCATCCCCCCAGGAGAGATCTGGATGAGTTCTGGCAGCAGCTGCAAGAGGTGGAGGGGCGGCTGGACAGGGCGGCGGGGAGCGCCCCTGGGGAGAGGGGGCGGCGGCGCCACGGGGCAGGGGGGCCGCCTCGACCGCCTGAGCCAAGAGCTGCAGGAGCTGAACAGCACAGCCACCCGCCTGCGGGGGCAGCTGGGCACTGTGGTGGGCACAGGCTTTGGGGGGAAGAAACCCCCTCCCCGCAGCTGCAGACATCCCTGGCCGGGCCAGCCTGGTGCACAGGCCTGGCTGACAGGGGTGCTCCCAGCCACACCCTGACGCCTTCCTTGCACCCGCAGAGTCCTACCGCAGCCTCATGGCTGCTGCCCAGCGCTCCCGGCAGCAGCAGCAGCGGGCGCAGGATGCAGTGCAGGGCCCGGGCAGCCTGGTGGGGCAGGCCCAGGCAACGAGGCGGGTGGCAGAGCGGGTGCTGCGGGAGCAGGGAGATGCCTTCCGCAGGAGCGCGGCCGCGCAGGGGCGGGCACTGCGGGAAGCCCAGCGCCAGGCCGCAGCCCTGAGCATCGCCCGTATCAGCCAGCAGGTGAGGGCTGGGGCAGCACCCTGGGCGCAGGGCACGTAGGGGTGCCCAGCACTAAAACAAACCCGTCTGTGCCCTGCAGATCTGTGGAGCCCCAGGGCACCAGGGCTGTGATGGTGCCCCCTGCGGAGGGGCATTGTGCCGGGACCACATGGGTCAGCGCCACTGTGGGGGCCCGGGCTGTGTTGGGGCCCTGCCCGTGTCCGTGAGGGCACTGGGCCAGGCCGGGAACGCTTCGCGGGAGCTGGAGAGTGTGGCCCAGCAGCTGGGCACCGTCGCCCTGCAGGTACTGGGAATGCAGGGGCAGGGAGGGGCCGCGGGACAGCCCCCAGGTGCCCCGTGCTCAGCACTACTCCCCCTCGCAGCTGCAAGAAGCACACGAGCTGGCCCGCAGTGCCAGGACCCATGCCCAGGAGACCCTGGGCCGGTCGCAGGCGGCCAGGACACACATGGAGGAGTCCACGGCTGGGCTGCAGGATTTCATCCGGCGGATCAAAGCTTTCCTGGCAGGTAGGGGTGGATGCTGGGACTGGGGCCGTGCCATGCAGGCCCTGGGCTGCACCGCCTGCGCTGAGCGCTGCTGTGTCTCTGCAGAGGAGGGGGCCGACCCCGAGAGCATCGAGCTGGTGGCCCGGCAGGTGTTGAACATCTCGCTGCCCAGCAGCCCTGGCCGCATCCAGCACCTGCTGCAGGAGATCCGTGACAGCCTGAGCGGCCTGGACGGCGTGGACGCCATCCTCAATGGCACGGCCCGTGGGCTCGCCGCCGCCCGCGACCTACTCGCCCAGGCCCGGCAGGCCCAGTGAGTCACTCGGGGGAGGGCAGGGCAGCGTGGGCGTGGGGCAGGCTGGCGAGGGTCGGGCGTGGTGATGGCGCTGCCTCGTGTCTCCCCAGGGAGCGAGCGGAGGGCTCGCGAGGAGCCGTAGCGGAGACGCAGGGGGCTCTGGCGGCAGCAAGGGGGGAGGTGGCGGCAGCTGGGGCTGCGCTGCAGGGTGCCAGGGAGGTGGTGCGGGGCGTGGAGAACCGGGTGAAGGAGGTGAGTGGGGCAGCACGGGGCTGGCTCTGTGCCCGACCGGGCCTTATCCCTGAGGGCTGGGGCTGCCTGGGGCAGGAGGGGGTGCGAGGGCCCGGGGGGGTGCAGGCCTGGCCTGTGTGTGCAGGGCACAGGTGGCGTGGGGGCTGCTCCTGTCACCCTGGCACCCCCGACCCCGGGCAGGCGGAGCGGAGGCTGCAGGCACTGGAGGGGACGG